GGAGGTAGTCGGGGTAGGCGGCTAAGATGTTCATGCCCGGAGCCACCAAGTCCGGCTGCGTGTATCCAATATTATTTCACTTAAAAATAAGGAAAGGGGCTAAAATCATTTCGAATTGAAATAAGCCAATTTGTAAATATCATTACCTTGAGGATCTCTGTGTAAAGAGGGTTCGGTCCCCTGGCTGAGAAGGAGGGTACGTAAACCGCATTGCCAGTGAAATCATAAGACTTCTCAATCCTCGCCACCGGTTTCCTACAACAACAATCAAATAATTTTATGTAATTAATCACTTACAGTCATTTAAAAAACTGTAAATTATAATTTTGTTCAATATTATTCAGAAATCTACCCTTCGGGACCAAGGCTTTCAATATACTCTTTAATGATGGCGCCCGCCTCGTTGGATATTATGGTCGCCGGAATCTCGAAAGTTTCGGCCTGGTCCACCGGCATGGTCAACTGCAGCACCAACCCAACTCCTCCGGCGAGTTTCACCACCTGGTCCGTCCCCCCAGCGTTGCCAGTTACTTTACACAGCACGATCGTACGGTTCACAATTGTCGGCTCCATCGATTCAGGAGCACACATCCTGCATGTTAATCATCATCCCAAAATTAATCATTTATATATACATTACTGCACTCAAGTTGAGATACGTTTGGATTTTAATGTTCGTGTTGTTAGTTACAGAAATATTTCTTCAGCATTATTTGTAAGAAAAAGAAGTGTATTTGAAAATTATGTGGTGTTATTGAATTACTTTGATGTGTTATTGGAATATTTCTCCGCATTACTTGATTTGAGGTTGCGTTATTCGACATATTGTCCGTGTTATTTTAATTTCTACTATGTTGTTGGAATAACACATCCTCAATATTTTAATAACATTTCATTTTTTATAAATAATGCTGATAAAATATTCCTATAACTGAAGGGGATATTTTACGACACAGCTACTATTGCAATATAAAGGTGGAGGTAATATTTTTTTCGCACTTACTGAGCTTCGAAATTCATGCC